TAAGTGAGCAGGTTTCCGGGCAGGGTTGGAGGGATATCTCAAGAGAAGCAGGGTTCTATCCCAACTTCCAGCCTTTCTTCCCATGCTGATGCATATTTAGCTGTGCTTAGGATTTGTTGCCAATCTGTTGGTCCAGGAACACTGATGGGGTCCATTTATGACCACTTAGTCAAGGAAGTCAATTTTATAATCATGTGAAAATATGTGGAAGATGCCTATTATTACACTCCGATCTGAAGGCCATCCCACCTTTTCCTCAGGACGTCTTCTACACGGAGGCAGAGATGGCAAGAAGACGTCTGTCAAGTGCATCGTCAGCTGCCACATACTGGAACCCAACCCCAGAGTGGGTGAGTGGCTTTCAGATCCCTCTTTCTGTTTAAAGAAAGGGACAGCTACAGCTCCTAGGGTTTAGTTTCTTTCTCCCTGCTCCATAAAATTGAGATTTTGAGTTAAGATGTCCAGACCAAATTCCAGTTGAATGGAGGTTTGATCAGAAATGCTAACCTATTTCCAGTCAAAACAGCCATTAAAAACAAGTTACTCATTTTTCAGCAGATATTTCTAAGATTAGATATAAAATAATCTGCTTGTATTAAAATTAAATGAAAACAAGTAAATTAAGTTTAAAGGACTTGAAAAATTATTTTAATATATAGAGAAAATGAGACTCCTGACAACCGTGCATGACCTAGTAGACCACCAAAACTGTCACTATCAAATGAACAGTACTTTCATCTTTGAGACATTGAAGAAAATCAGGCATCACTCTTGCTACTCTTGTGGTCCAAGACCTGTTTACGATTCATAAATCTCAAAATTAACCTGCCCTTGAGCAGATCAAGTATACAGCATAAGTTGCCATGGTATTGTAACCAGGTTAAAAATCCACGATCCAAGGTTAACTGGCTAAGCAGTAGATGTTGCTTTGTGAGGCAGGTCTTATGTTTCATATTCCATTAACTACATTAACAAACCGAAACAACACAACTAAGACGTGTAGAACTAGGCAGCCAGTGAAGCAATACATATATGTCAGCCCGATTTACTCCTGTATAAACGTTTCTTTCCCATGGTTTTGAAGGTACACGGCCATATGACCCTGGGAGTCCTTTTTGTTTTATTACACTTAATAAGGGATATCCTGTCACTGGTAGCATACTGATGATGTGAAATTTTATACACAGACAAGCAGAACAGATTTCACATCGCCACTTATCAGAATTGAAGAAAGTGTAGAGGGATGAGGGTCATTAGAGGAATAAAAGTTTAGTTTATGTGTCTGTCGTGAGACGAGGATGCATTACAAATTATATTTACTCCTCAAACTCACCTTGGCAGAATATGCTATCAGACTGTTGTTCTATCAGCTGATCTCAGAACACAACCTGATCACGCTCTCTCTCTCTGACTGCCTTTCATTGTGTTTGTATGATGATCAGTTCTGAATGAAGTCATCAGTATGGCTACCAGAGGAAATATAAAGTACAGTAAAAAAAAATCAATATGGGTTAAATTGCTGTTGTTGCTAACGATTTTAAGAGCAGAAATGTACCATGGACATCAGTAAAGTACAGTGTCCTCCACAAATACTAAAGTCCCTGGTAAACAAGCTGTAAAAACATTCTTTATTGCTTATCATTTTGATCTTTAATTTGAAATATTAATAAAAATCACTCCAAGTACCAGCAAATAAATCAACTGCTAAATCAAAACCTAACGGCCTCAGCTAGGAAGCCTGACAAACGGTTCACTGACCACAGAATCAAGATTTTGCCCTTACCATCACAGTCCTTTGACCCAGCCCCATAGAAGACCTGTGACATGAGCTTAGTACGACAGTCCACAAGTTCTGACCTTTTTTGGTGCAGGTGCTGTCCTGGAAGAGTAAGCTCCCTCTGCAGACGATAATGCGCCTGCTGCAGGTTCTGGTGCCACAGGTGGAGAAGATCTGCATTGACAAGTAAAGGAAAAAAACATCACTTCTCACAGATTCCTGTAAACACTTTTAGTACGAGACTGTGCTGCAGAACTCAGTGTCTGTTTCTTATTCTACCTCACAGGGGACTGACAGATGAGTCAGAGATCCTGAAGTTTCTTCAGCATGGCACCCTGGTGGGGCTTCTTCCCGTGCCTCACCCAATCCTTATCCGAAAGTACCAGGCCAACTCTGGCACTGCCATGTGGTTCCGCACATACATGTGGGGTGTCGTCTACCTGCGGTAAGCTTGCTGCAAGTCCCAAAATGTATATATTGTTCTTAACAAAATCCATGTTAGGGCCCTAATACACCAAGCCAGCTGTCATCCGTTGGACAACATGATGCCGTTGGTGGGCATCAGTTGCCCGAAATTTATGCAGTGTTCTGCAGGCTTTTTTTATCCGCACTTCTTTTCTTTTGTGGTCAGCAATGAGAGTTCGTTCTCTGATAGCGCGCATACAGGGAAACTGAGCAAAGCAAGCAAACAGCACTGTGAAGAGGAAACAGAAAAAATAGCCTGATTTGATCACTAGGAAAGGGCATTTTAACCAGTTTTGCTTTTTGACTGTCCACATTTTTAAAAGATTAGTATTCAAAGAGCCCACTTGAATATCACGAAAAGAGAATATATGTGCAGACAAACACAGATGCACAAATAGATAACACACTGACATTCAGTAAAGCGTAGGATACTTTTAACTTTATAGTCAGGATGAAAATACACCAGCTGTGCACTGCATTTCACTGTTTTATGTATAAATGTTCATAAACATTCACTGTTTATACATCAATGTTAAACTGTTACAACAATGCTCATTTCTGCTAGCGCCCTTATTAGTTTTTCTGTTGTGTCAACATCAAGCTAACGGTGAGGTATTTTCACAATAAGTTTAGCTTAGACACAGACATTTAAGCTTGTAAGACATTCAAAATAGTTTAACAGTGAATCCTTCAGGAAATGTTTAAACTTACTGCATAAATTAGTGGTTGAGATGTAAACAAAGTCATTCAGAGTAGTTGGTTGTGAAATGGTTCATTGTAGAGAAACTTACCAATCGTTTACAGTGGTGTTGAAAATGTAAAATCACAATACTTGCAGAAGTTTTCCTGATACGCAGTATATGATGATATTTACTTTTTCTGACGTCTGATAAATTGGAGCACACGTAAAGTGCCACACTTTACAAAATACTGTCAAAAAAATGATGACAACAGGGATTCATATTTAACATTTTACATGCCGTTGTGCACTTAATCCATTTTAACAGATAATTATGCTGTCTTTTTAATCAACATGCAGTTGGTCAGTGTTTTTCGAATGCTAATGCTAATCCATGATATGAGAGGAGTACACTATGACATATTGTGATGTAATGGATTATGAAAACAATAAACATTGTCATGTTGCCCGGCCCTAGTGTGCCCTCGGCATTAGTTGGTGGATTGGTGTGGGAACCTTAGTCCTGGAGCGGATATTAAAGTGTATGATTAGTCAGGGTGGGAATCTTTGACCTCACGGTGATTACATTGCAGTTCTTTAGTAAACAGTTCATTGCGTCATGATCTCGCATTTTACCATGTTTTGATCCCATTATTGTTGCATAACATTTTTTTAAAAGACCCTGAAAACACATATCTGACAAGGTTAACTAGTAGAATATAGATAATAAGAACAATATTCCAACGTTTTTCCCTAAGACTGAGCATTATGTTTGCATTTTTACTCAAAAAAATGGTTTTGTGAAAAATGATTGGATTTAATCTCTGTTTTGCAGTAATGTTGACCCACCAATTTGGTACGACACAGATGTCCGTCTCTTTGAGATCCAGAGGATGTAGAGCCTTGAGCTGCCTGTCACTGACTGAAGTGGGGGGGCTGGATGGTGATGTCAGGTTTTTGCCCCTCACACTCTGGCACCCTTTCAAAGCTTGCAGTCTTTAACTTGCCTGTCACAATGCTGTATCCTCCCCATTACATCTCATTAGTTTCTCTATGGAAAAGGACAGGCTTTTCCTGGACTATAAAGGATTCCGTGACTTGGATACTATATATCAGCAGGCATGGCTTCCTGTGTTGTTGAAATGGTTGGTGTAAAAATGATAATGTTTCTATAAATAACCCTGCTCTCCTTGTCCTTTGATAAGACCACAGAATGTCCAGCAGCTTAGACCATTGAGACTTCAGAGTCTTTAAAAATCACTCTCTCACTGTGGATGTATAAATGAGTTGCCTACCGTAAGAATTAATACTGTTTATTAAAACATATATATTTGATGGAAAGCATATGTGAAGGCCTGAAATTGGTCACAAGTAGTCCAACAGTTAAATGGCGTGATCAGGCTAATGTGAGCACTGGCATTGACTGTGACTGTGTTGTCATGTGTCTGCCACTAGAGGGCAGCACAGCTACAGATTTCTCTTTTTTTCTCTCTGTCAAACATGTTGATTCTGTAAGTGTACTGTTTAATCTGAAGTCTTCATTGTAACTAGCTCTTGCAGATAACAGAAACGTTCTTTTTGAACTTGATGAAATTTCATTGAAAGACCCAGATTGGAAACGGTTTCAGGCTGTAGTGTACATGTTCCCACAGTATTTAACCGTAAACAAACTAATAGCAATTTAGCCAATCATTGTTTGCAATGTGTTCAATAAGAATTGTTTATGGTGAACCAATACTTCTATTTTTGTCTGCATATCAGTTTTGCTAATGAGATGGCCTAATGTGTATATACTGTGCTCAATGTTTAAAATAGTTTTTGTCTCCATATAAAAAAACAAACTATACTGAACTCAAAAAGGCCGTGTGTTTTGCTTGCTTCTACGTCAGCCAACCAGATCAGTCTTCATAGTTTGAGAATAGTTTGTGTATCCTTGGTTTTATTAAATATCTGCACAGGAGACAATATTAACCGCCATTGTAGCTCACAATGTCAAATGAATGGTTCACCCAAAAATGTACATAATTTACTTTTTTTTTTTTCCTCCCCCCAAAAGTAGCCAGCCAGTAGATTACACACTCAATCACTGAGACCATCGTCATTAAAGCAATGACAAAAATGTTGGTGATATAAAACACACTGAGCGCCTCGTCCCCCTTTTTCCTGCTCCTCGGCTGCCATGTCCTTCTCATAAGTTATGAAGGCGCATGCACCGACTACCAGCACCACCAGGCCGCTGGCCAGGCGACTCATGGCGTTCCGCAGGTGGAAACAGTGCCCGTGGGACAGGTGATCATCAACCATCTGGCCTACGTTCCTCCACATTACAAAGGTCATGGCTGAGGCAAACATGCAGTACTCGAAGGATAGAGGTAATAGAAGGCAAGCTCAAGTTTGGTGCATGATAAGTGACTGGTGTGATCGTACTGGCAGCTTCCACCAGCAGCTGTAACAGATAAATCAATGGACGGTTAGATACATTAATATATAAACAAAAAGACACTTTATTAATCAAGGTTTCAAAGTTACAACAGAAACGAGACAAATGGTTTAGAAACACATACAAATCACTTTAGAATTACAGCTTCCCTTTACATTGTCTGAACATGTCACAATGAACGGCCAAATGGAATGCTCCAAAACTACCCTGAATAAAATCCTGTCACAATAACATGCAGTAAAAAAATCTTCCTTCTGCTATAATGTTTTGGAGATACAGGGTTGCTTGAGAAGAGCAATGAAGCTTGAATATGTTCATTGCATTATATTAAATATGTCGAAGTCTGCCAGTATTTTTTCCCCTCTTCTTTGAGCACTATGAGCAAGGAAATTCAAGTGTTAAAAGAAATCAAGGTGTTCTCAGACATTTGACAGGCAGTGAAGATGATTAGGTGATGAGTAAAAAAGTGTGGTAGAAGTGATGAGTTTTGATGTCAATCTGTTCCATGTAGTGACTCCTCTGTCACCGCTGTGATCCACAGCATCAGATTTGTGGCCAAAGTGAGCATCAGTCCACAGCTGCAGTCATCACTGAATGAATTAAGTAATTATGAAGTGGTGCAAGAAACCAGAGTCAAACACAGAACTGTATCATTTCTAGTGTAAATTCATAAACACTAATTTCACACTTACCGAGTTACGCTTCTTTGAACATGCACACAGTCCCTCGCATGGAGCCAGAGGAAGGAAGTCTGGAACACAAAAGAAAAGCAGATTCACACAAAACTGGTTAATAAATAAGAATAATTCTGTTTTTGTGTGTGTGTGTGTGTGTGTGTGTGGTCTTCTCACCTTCACCAGAATAAACACAGCTTGCACTACAGAGAAGCTGATTTTCCACATCACAGTCCACACAACCCACGTAGTAGGCGATCTTCAAGCTGACCACTATTAAACTGCTAAATCCAAACAGCATCAGACCACCTGAAGCGGAAACAGACTGTTTCAGGCAAAAGAACCAGCAGAAATAAACTACTACAAAGGAAATATAGCAGAGTTTTCTATTGTTATATCTACGCTGTAAAGCATGGCTCATCAGACCAACAGTTCAAAAAATTACTTCATAATACATAATGATCGTTCATTCAAAGTATTTACTTAGATTGAGTAAAACTAGTTAATTTACTTGTTACCACATGAAGTAGTTAATTAGGTTGATCTGATGAGCCATTTTTTACAGTGTCAGGTATTCCAGTCTATTATATAGTATAAGATATTATTTATACATGTACAGGAAGAAAGCTTAACCGTGACTGTTAACAAGTATACATGGTCTTGATGGAAAAAATGAGCTAACCTAAAAAAATAGTTTGCTTTGTGTTTCTGTTTTGACGTGACTGCTTCCATTTGAACTTGCTGATTGCTGCCCAGTCAAACTCATAAAACTTGAGGCACACAACATGCAAAAACAGTATGCAGAATGAGCCTCTCCTATTAAAAACACTGGAATTGAATGTGGCAACTGTGTACCTTTCCACTTGGAAAAACTCATTTAAGGTGCACAACCTTAAAACCACTGTTGTACCTTTGAGGGTATATTTACATTGTTTGCACCTTGATGAATGAAAACTGTACCTGCATAGTACCTTTATTTCTAACAGTGTAACGTGGCATCACCAAAGCCTCGTTCTTACCTCTGAGCCACATGGGTCTCGCGTGCATATCCTTGCAGGGCACGGCCTCCTTCTGTGGGCACGTGTGCGCCTTGTAGAAGACCATCCAGGCTGTGGTGAGGACAATGACGATGATGAGGAACATCTGCAGGTTTCTATCCCTCACCTGCATGCCATTAGCTATGATGCCAAAGAGCAGCGCACATCCCACAAGGAGCACAGTAAGAGGGATGTAGGAGGTGAACTCTTGGCACAAATGATCCCTCCACATGACACTGGACAACTGTGCCATGCTAGCCGAGTGTTGACTGAGCGATGCCGTGTGCACGGTGACAACCTGCTGAGCTCCCTCAGCCTCATCCTTCTTCCCCACCTACAAACACAAGCCATAAAAGTACAGGTTAAGATCACAGAAGTAAAGGATCTGTAGTGTTCTTTTCATAATGTATAAGTTTTGCTCTTCAGTGCTCAGTGCACAACTGATGCAGATAAAAATATGTTTAGTATGTTAGGATGATGATTAAACTAGAGTAGTTTAATCTAGACTAGGAGTTGTATGATACTGCATGACCCTAGTTTCCATTTACAGAAATATCAACGTTCCAAAAAAACAAACAAACAAAAACCAAAAAGCAAATAAGTAAACACAAACAACAAAATAAATGCAGTTAATATATGTAAATCGGTTGACCAAAAGTGTTACAATTAGTTAACTAGTTGATTTAGGTGGAACAGCACTAACTATATGCATACAATGTTGACTGATTTTCCTTTTAATAATAATGTCTCCTAGTTTAAATGATTTAAGATCTTCAAAATTTGTTGTTGATTGTTATTGTTGATTTTGCACTGGAGACCTAAACATTGAGTCAGTCTTTTGTTTTAAGCCTGTGTGTGTGGTGTTAATATGTAAAGACGTATGACCTGGTCCTAAAAAAATCCGTCCCAGTACCTCTGACTTTTAAATGATTATTTCAGGCTTTACAGAGCGACTCGCAGCAGCACACGCACACCACATTTTAGTGTTTTGTTTTTGTCTACATACTCAGTAATGCTTCTTTCAGTTTTAACAAAAAATATTATGTGGTGCTGCTTTAAGTACATGTACTTCAATAAAAGGAAGTAGTTACTTACATCTAAAACCATGTTGGAAGTACTGGACAATACAGCAGAGTGTCCTTGACTCATGATGAGATCAACCTGCAATGAGTTTGAAATGACAGCAATTAGATATTTACAGGTGATGGTAGAAACAAGCGAGACGTTCTTGAACATTTCCAGTCCTTTGGAACCCTTGTATTTAAAGCAAAGGTTCCAAAAGCAAGGTTCTCTGCTCCATCATGTTGTTATTTTGTAGTCGGCGCCGTGCTCTTATGCCCATATTAGGAACTCCGGGTCTAAGCCCGATTTCTCTATGGCCAGAATGAATAGGGTTTTCGAAAAATCACCTCTATCACACCCTGTGTTAAATAAAAATGTTCATAACCTGATACGTTTTGTCCTGTGAACATTTTTCTCTTGAATATCACTGGATCCATACTGACTTGTCTCTCCACCCGTTTAAAATAATAAATATAATGATAGATGTAGGAGGTGTCAGCAATGTAATTCTTTAATAGCCACACATAGTAATCAATCATAAATGGACCATTAGTTCAAACTACAGTCCCACATTTAAAAACTATTTAAAGAAACAATTAAGTATTCGGACCTTAGACATTTACAAGGATTATGTTATGATTTATTTAAACCCAATGCATTTATAGAGACAGTAATAAGATAAATACATAAAATCATCATTTGTAGGGTGCTTTCTATTGGCAGGTGTCTGTCCCAAACCCTAACCCCTAAATTTCAACTTGTGTAAATAATACTTTAAAATGTTATTTTTTTCAATGTTGTTTTTTTAAATATCTTTTTTGATTTCTTTTAAAGTGATTTTGGAGTATTTACATTTATCTAGAGTTTAATATTAAATGAAAAAACTTTATTCAAGAAATGCTATCCCAGGTTTTCATGTCACTACCCAAAGAGTATGAGTCCAGAGGCAAAGCCTATTTTGTAAAGTGTCAGCAGTGTTGGGAATGTTTTGCTAGTGGCAAAATAAAATGTTCAATCATTAGTTTTAAAGAAATAAACAGAGTAAAGGTATAGAGTCAATTAAAGCAAAAGGATTTTAGTTTAAATTCTAAAGTGTGAAATGTGTTTTCAGCCCTGATTTTGGTAGAATGACCCATATATATCACTCAAAATCATCCTGTTTTACTGTAAATACAGTCACAGATAAACTGATACTCTTTAACTAAAGCTGTATGGCTCCTATTTTGAAGTGCAGCAGAGTTTCTAGTGTCTGACTGTGTACTGATAGCTTTCAACTGCCCTAAATCTTTTTAGCCATTCAGCTCCTTTAGCTCCCACTCATTGAGGATCGATCATGGGCGTCGTCTAGCGTTTGAAAGTAATCAGGCTCTCCTTAACTTGCCCTGACAGAAATCCATGCAAATCTAACAGTATTATTTTAAGGAACGTGGTCAGATCACCCCCTGATGTTTGCACTGAAAACAGATTCCTATGAATTCCTTAAAATTCCTTAGTAAAAATAGCAGTAGACAAGGATGAGAGATTAGAGTTTAGTTGCACATGAGCAAAATCTCTGCAAATCTGAGCACAATTTTAGACTTTATCTCCACTAAAACTCATAAGAAGACATGAGATCACTGGTGTCTCTTGCTCAGGATAAACACCTGAGCAGCAGACATCTGTTTTTGGGATGTGTTGCAAATCAGTTTTTGTTGTGAATCAATTTCACAATGAGTTTATATTTAAACACTACATATCTATATATATATATCGTATCATATATATGTATCGCCTCTAGTACATTTTCCTCAGTTCAGAGTCAGCCACTGTGATCAGTCCCGTCCGCATGATTTGCCTTTGTGTATTCTTAAGTCTTATTAAGCCTCACAAGAGAGATTGTTAAGTGACACAATGTGAATAACTAACAACAACCATAAAGCCACTCCAGATAGTAAAAGGAAGTGACTAATGACTGTTGTAGTGTGATGGTGGAATGATTTCACTGAAAACCAACAATGTTGCCTCACCATTTATGAGATTATGAGGGATGGTGTATATGGTTTATAGACAGCATGGGGAATTTTAAACCAGGAAATGTGTGTCAATGTATCATGTAACACAGACTCAGGAAGTTCTCCACATCACTGTTTCTTTAATTTGATGTCAACAGCATGTTTCCTGCTCACAGAGATCTCCTTAGATTGATATTGCACTCAGTAATAATAAAGGAAAATGAAATATATCAAAAGAGGTCATAGTGAAGGCAGTGTTTCCACTCTATATAAAAAGTTCAGCAATCATTAAAACTGAGCCCACAGACAAGCATGCTTAAATGCTTGATTTTATGTTGCTTAAAAAAGTGATGGCCTTATCAGAAGTGCAAAAGCTTAAAGTTTACAATAAAGTTATTGTACAAGTATTCGTTGCATAAATATTTCAAGCTGTACATAGTCAAGTATATTCAGAAACAAACACACATACAAAGCTTTATGCAAGCTTGTCATTCACTTGCCAAATAAAAATAAAGACAAAAACAAACAGGTTGACACTATAAAATACATAATATCCGGTACAAAATGTCAGTTTTATAAAATAAGGGCCACTGTTGTCCAAGCTGTTCATGAGGTGAGGTACACCTCAAATAGACTGGCTACTGAGTGCATTCGGTAGAAGATTCCAAAAGGTAATCCGACATTCACCACAGCCACCCACATGTGAAACTCATAGAAGTCTGTTCCGATGGGGTTGTCAAACTGCGGTCGTGCTCCAAAAGCAGGCATGATCCAAAGCTGTGAAACAGACAGAGAGGGTTTACACTGTGAGTAGGGTGATAGGTATGCCTTATATCTTAAGGGCTTAACCTTAAAGCAATAGTTAGATGCAAAAAAACTATTTTTTCCATGCCAAGACATATTTGATGTCCAAAGTTTTGCCCTGGAGCTACAAAGCTAATGTAGCTCTACAAAATCACAGACAAAATTCAGGCTTGAAGATGCTAGTAGCGTTTTTAGCTTGGTAAGACACATTTTATAACCGTATATCATAAGTCGTAAGCTAGTCTGTCTGAGATTGTTCAACACCTTGACATGATTTGAGGCAAGTGTGTGATCATTTAGACGTGTAGTTTGCACGATGCAAAGTGGCTCTAAGCTTCCATTATTTATAAGCTCTAGGGCAAAACTAAAGAAGCAAACATCAGATACCAAACATGTCTCGGCTATCTATAGACAAAACTGTTTCTAGGTTGGCACACTTGGTCCCACAAGCTTGATGCATATGGTTCCAAAGTTAAGGAACTTACAATAATGTTGGAAAGCAGCAGGAAGGCAGAGATCTCCTTCAGCATCCTCCTCTTCCAGGGCAGGGGCTTGTGGACAGGGATGGCGATGGAGCTGCGGGGGGACATAGGGATGTGGCTGGACCTTCGTTCCTCTTGTGCATGGAGGGCCAACAGGTTGGAAAAGATGCTGGCCCGACGCACATCATGATGTGGCTCGCGCCGGATGCCCTCGATGATGAAGACGTTCTGCACACACAGCTCCACCACGGTCAGAATGGACCAGGCCAGGTTGAGGGCGTTGACGTGGCCATCTATTCCCGAGCCCAGAACAGCTACTATGGTGAAGTAGGAGACAGTGAACTGGCCCATGGAGGACCCCACAAGGAGCCCCATGTCTAGGCTGCGTGTGGGGTTCTTGCCTGACGCGTGCTCCCGCCGCTCCAGCCGGAAGATGACGCATCCAGCTACAGTGAATATCGTCATTAGTATGATGGTCACCGTGTTGGTGATGTAGTACATGGTCAGCGCTGTGTCCCTCTTCTCCTCCTCCTCGGCTAACACGTCCACTTCGTAGACCACGAAGGTGGCTATGCCGGCCACAACCACCACCAGCCCGCCAGCTGGGCCTAGCAGGACATCACGCAGGTGGAAGCTGTGCTCGTGAGGTGGGTGATCGTCCACCAGCCGGCCCACATTCTTCCACATCACGTAGGTCATGGCCGAGGCAAACAGGCTGTATTCGATGTTGAAGGGGTAGAGGTAGTAGTAGGCGTGCTCGAAGATGCTGCAGGACGTGTGACTACACTGGCAGCTGTTGTCTCCATCAGCAGCCGCAGCTGAGAGAGCGAAAGAAAAAGGAGGCATTTTATTAATCCTCAAGGAAATTGCAGTTTGGCAAATGCAGCTACACAAATTGTCTTATCTTTTTTTTTTTTTCTTTACACCATTCGAGAATGGCAGCTGCCCTTTACATTGTGGGAGCATTTAATAAGAAATGAAAAACAGAAATTATCCAAAATTACTTAATAAAAAGTAAAGTTAAAGATGTTTTTTCTTTCTTCTATGATGTGACCATGTTGGAGACTTTTTTAAAAAAATATTTTTATATATAGTATATATATAATATATAGTATATATATATATATTTTTATATATAGTATATATATATATAATATATAGTTTTCATGGAGGTTTTCTTAAGAACAGTGATGATAATTATAAGCTTACAATGGGACACTACATATTCAAAGTTAATGCCTAAAGACACCATTTTGTAGATAGGAGTTTCTGTTCCATATACATGTATACATTTAGGGGGCCGGGTGGGATGAGGTGTGTGTGTGGGGGGGGCATGTTTTCCATTCCAAATCCTGCAGGGTTTTTTATGAAGCAAGACTTTTGAGTAAAGCTGGATAAGTCAGTGGTCCCTAATGCTGGTGCTGGAGGAATCCCTGCCTTGAACACTGTAGTGTTTCACATATTATCTGTTACACCCAGTACAGCTAAGGAAGGGCTTCTTAATGAGCTAATTAGTTAATTGGATCAGGTATGTTAGAGCACACCAAAATATGCACGGCAGGGGACCTGAAAGACCAAGAGGAAACACTGACTTGAGCCTAAACTGAGAAATAGTCAATATCCAACATACTTATTTACCTTTCCACATACTGAATAGGCTTGACCCTTTGCTTAAGTTATCTGGTAAGCTGAGAAATCATGCATTGTGAAATAACTCTCTGGAGTACCACAGCCCTGCAGGGTTGAGTGTATTCCTTCCCCCAACACATGTTTCAACTCTAGATCATCAGTTAACTTTTGTGGCTACATCACAGGCCTGTTAGCTTCATAGTAGTTACAGAGTAATTTAAGGTAGTAGCTGTTAGGGTAAGTCCTAAGATTAATAACTGAAAAAGTGTGTAGTTTAAGGGGTTAAAAGGGATTGCACTGAGGTGAAGACAAGTGAATCACACTTTAACCATATCTGTTGCAGTATTCACTGATGGGAAAACAAACCTTTGAGTAAAAGAGTACGGGAGGTGTGGTTAGTGTTGCTGTCAGGATACACGGTTTGATGTAGTGACTCCTCTGTAACAGCCATCATCCACAGCATCAGGTTTGTGGCCAAGGTGAGCATCAGTCCACAGCTGCAGACAAAGACAGACATTGTGAGAGATCAGTTATCAGAGTTAATTGTAAACTTTGGTTCAGGAAATCAATGTCAAATTTCTAGTAAACGCAAGTAAACTAAATGTTGTAAATGAATGAACTTGGACAGATTCTGATAACACCACAGACAAAGACACCCCTTCACAGACCCTACGCTAACATCCATCTCATTTCCCATTATATTCAAAATCTAAGGAAGAAAGGAAGCACATCTAGTAGGAGTGCTAACGCATGATCAGAATCACTGTATATTTACACTATTTGTTGTCTCTTCATCATGCTAATATCATCCTAAAGGTGGCTGGCACCTCAGACAATCAGCATTTGCCCAGGTCTATCATATTTAGTGTACATCCGCACATTTAAATCACTAACTTCACACTCACCGAGTTACGTTTCTCTGAACTTGGACGCAGTCCTTCGCATGGAGCCAGAGGAAGTAAGTCTGAAACACATAAAAAAAGAGGATTCTCAAAAAAAAAATCTTTAATGAGATAAGATAACAGAGTTCTGCCAGTTTTCATGAGGGAGAGGTCATCTCACCTGCACCAGAATAAACACAGCTTGCACAACAGGGAACACGATTTTCACAGGTGAGTCACAATGTGCATAACCCACATAGTAGGCAATCTTGAAAACGTCCATGATTAAACTACAGACTCCAAACAGCACCAGACCACCTGAAGAGAAAACAGACGAAGACTGTTTTAGGCAAAAGAACCAACAGAAATACACTAAGACAAAGAAAATGCACTGTAAAAAAGTATATCTTGGCAAATAAAAACATCTTAAATCTAGTCAATATATCTATTTTTTGAGATAGTTATACATTTTTTATATAGCTTATTTGTATTACATAGTACCTAGGTAAAATGACACAAAAATTAAAAAAATCTACAATAAATTAAATAATCTTATAATATTCTTAAAGGATATACAGTCTCAAAATAAGAAAATTGGATGTATTGACTGTGTTTAAGAAATTTCCGCTTGCCTAGACGTTTTTGCAGTGTATAATGTGGAGTGAATTCAGAGAAATGTCCAGACGCAAATTTTTATTGTTTTTAGAATGATAAATAATGTCACTCTTACATGGTTAACTATTCAAATAAATCCCATGGTTAGATTCAAAGTATATAAACCCACGTGTAACCCACAGTGACCTTCAACCATCATTTTATACCCTTTCAGGAAAAGGTAATTTTTTACTAAAATGGGCCGCTGTAATAAAATCTGAATGCTGACCAAGAACTTCAACAACATCTTTTACAGGAAACACCTGAGAGAAGTGGCTGTAGGCTATAGACCGAACCAAGTTACTCGAGTTATTCACGCTTTTACACTGTAACCTCTTCAAAAATCAATGAGAATAATGACAATAAGATGATAAGATGAATAATCAATAAGGATAAACATTAGAAATAAATACAAATGTTGTATACTACAATTACAGACTGTAGCGCATCTGTTTCTCTGTTCACCTTTAACCCATTCATCAAGGGTCAGGACCCCCACGGGACGACCACAGAGCAGGTATTATTTGAGTGGTGGGTCATTCTCAGCACTGCACTGACACTGACATGGTGGTGGTGTGTTAGTGTGTGTTGCGCTTGTATGAGTGGATGAGACACAGCAGTGCTGCTGGAGTTTTTAAACACTTAAACAATTGTGTCCACTCACTGTCCACTCTATTAGTCACATCTACCTTGTTGGTTCACCTTGTAGATGTAAAATTAGTTAGTAGACTTCTCAGTCCAGCAGTGACACTGAGGTGTTTAAAAACTCCAGCAGCACTGCTGTATCTGATCCACTTGTACCAGCGCGACACTAACACACAACCACCATGTCAGTGTTACTGCAGTGCTGAGAATGATCCACCACCCAAATAATACTTGCTCTGTGGTGGTCCTGATCATTGAAGAAGACAGTGAAAGGGGACTAACAAAGTACACAGAGAAACAGATGGACTACAGTCTGTATGTGTAGAACTAAAAAGTGAACCTATATAGTGAGTCTAGCTGATAAAATGGACAATGAGTGTAGAAGCAAGGAGGTGTACTTAATGAAGTGGCCGGTCGGTGAACATTAGAAATACATACATATGCTGTACATGTCACAATGCATATGCAGCACATCTTGCTGTTTTGTTATAGGTCTATAAAGCTTAAAGCCCCATGTGTGGGTTAACACTTAATAGTGTAATGGTAGTTACCAAACAATTTATTGTAGCTGCTTAATACTAATTCCTAAGATTAATGACTGAATAACGAGTTAAAACGTTTTTTCGCATGTTTCGCGTACTTGGACTCCCTCCATCAGTATAAACAGTTTATCTGACACTCTGGACCCTCTAACAGCTCCACTAAGGTGGTGCTACTGAGGTCTAAGTTTACCTCTGAGCCACACGGGTCCCGCGTGCACGTCCTTGTAGAGAACGGCCTCCTCTTCGCGGCACGTGTACGCCTTGTAGAAGAGCATCCAGGCCGTGGTGGGGATGATGATGATGATGAGGAAGACCTGCACGTGCATGTTGCTCACCTGCACGCCGTTGAAAACGCTCCCGCTGACCAGCGCGCAGCCCAAGATGAGCACATTGAGGAGGATGAATGCGGACAGCATCCAACCCCAGCTGCCCGCGCGGTCCCTCCACACGCTGGTGGACGACAGCGCCACGCTGGCCGAGCGCTGACCGAGCGGAGCCGCGTGCACGGTGGAGATCTGCTGGACCCCCTCAGCCTCATCTTTCTTCCCCGCCTCCAAACAGAAGCCATGGAAGTACAGGTTAAGGTCATGTAAGTCTAGGCTTTTCAACACGCTAAAGTCCATGCTGAGTACAGCGCTCCTCTCACACACTCTCACACACAGACACACACACTGCGGCGCTCAGGCAACTTCAGCCCCAGCCTGATCACTTATATACATGCTAAGCTTCACGGGTCACCTGACTCACCAAACCTGGCCTGCGTCATACTAGGCGTTGGCAAGGCTGTAATCTGTTTTATATCCTGTTTTCTTGTCAGGAAGATCACACTGAACAAAACGGTCTGCTGTCCTAAATATCAAACCATGAAATCAACTGATACCCAAATCCTAAATGGTCAACTGCCAAAAGACAGGACAGTGTACCCTGCTAAAAAAAAAGGACAATTAGAAACCAATAGGATTAAAACCTAATAGCCGTCTGCCTGAGACCACTGCAGGGCTGTTGGCTAAAATATAATGAGGGGCGGATTTAGAGATTCTTGGGCTCTAGGCAAAAGACAGGAATGGGGCTCCCTGGATATACTGTTTTAAATTAGTTGGAGCTCTGGGCTCCTGAGTGGTGCAGCCATCTACACTGCAAAAGCTGACATCTTAAATCTAGTTGATATATCTGATATTTCTCATTTTGAAGTTGGTGCAAGAATAAGATATTCTAGATATTTTGTACCAAAGTTATTTTATTAAGTGAAAGCCAGTTTGCACCGAAGTTCTTGTAGTGACTGAATAATAGACATTAATATGTAATAATCCTGAGATTTCTACTGAGCCTGTGTGGCACTTTGTTCTGACTAATCAAGCAAAGTTAGCTTTGGTAGTGAAGTAACAAACATTTTGCTTTCCTCACTATTTTTGCATTGATAGGACTAAAACAAATCACTATACTCACAAAAAAACAGCAATTGCAAAAACATACATATATTTTGGAATATATTGTTTAACATAAACACGTACAGTATATCTAACGTGTATTAACATGTGGCCCTTGGCTGATGGGGGCCCCAGGCCTTTTGCAAAGACCACCCCTGGATATAGTAGTCAACATGTTATACAATGTTTTTCCTCAAAAAATAACACTGTAGCAATACTGTACAAAATTAGTTGCTGTTCCAAATTAGAATAATGATGATCCTTGTTGCCTTAAAGTTTTGAGTTCACTGAAACTCAAGTGATTATCAACAATCAAAACAGATTTATATCTGAACAACAGGTGTTGGCAAAGCTGCTGGCTTTTTGTCTGTAGTCAGCTTGTTTTTCCTGATCTTTAAAAGCCATTAAGCAGGTTTGCTTAAAGATTTGAGTTGAAAACAACAAAACACATTCACACTTTTCTTTACAAGCAACTGGCAACAGTTTCATGTACTACATAATATAATGTTTTATTTCCTGTTTTAACTTAAACAGTGAGTAAATTAGTGGCCTTCATGTTTTGAGCCCATTAACAGTATGTTAACAGTAAACGAAACCTGTAAAAACTATAAGAACAAGCATGGACAAACCTGAGGAATTTTTCCACATAAAAATGAAATCGCTCTATTGTTGGTTTTAATCTGTGTTCGCTCATAGATGTTACTCAACAAATGCTTTATCAGTGAAATGTGGTTAGTTGTGTTCTTTCAGTGAAATGAAGTGAGTCAGATTTATTTTAATAGTGTATGTTTAGTCAATGCAACCTTGTTAAGTACAACTCAAGGTCTTTCCCATCGGCTCCTGGCTTCATCTACTTTCATACTGGTTTACTTGTTTTATTCGCCCTCTTCCTTTTCTTTTCTTCTGCCCTACCTTTCCTGTGGTGTGCTTATGTCTTATATCAACGGTTAACTGCCAAGCCATGTTGGTGGCTGTAAGTGCAAGTTACCATAAAACCTACTGCTGATTGTACTTCTGTGATAGCCCAGTACACTCAAAAAAATACATTATTGTATGAATTTAATTCAATTATGCCACACATTTCCATTCAATGAAACTGAGTAGTCATAGATTTTGTTTCCTCAGTGTAAGTTCAACTGTTGATTGAGCAAAATAGAAACATAAACTTAAAAGAAAATAGAAACAATGCAATTTATCGGGTTTTAATTGGAATTCTCTTTTAATTGAATTCTCTTTGGATCATTAATTTTTGTCCATTTTACATAAACCAATTACTCAAAGACACAATTAATTTATTTAATGTCGACATACTATCAGTTTGTCAGTCAAACAACCCAGTTGGTCATTTTTTTAAGTGTGGTACAGTAACAACTTCATGAAACCATGTAGAACAAAAGTCCGTTAACATTATATTCTCTTTTTACTGTGATTTATTTGAATTTGAATTACACGTTACTCTACTGAACAACTTAAAAGCTATTTAATCCAGTTGTATGGTGCCACTTGATTTAACATTTATAAGTAAATCTAACATTTAGGTTTCGAGTAATACATAAAAAATTTACCCAAATACATTTTACTGTGATTTACTTGGATTCACTAATTACTCATTACTCAGTCAACTCATTTTAGAACATTTTTAAGCAAATCCAACATTTCACTTTTTTAAGTGTAGCCACTGTTAGCAAAATGACACTGTACAAAATATTTTAATGTTTTTATTTAAAACAAAGCAAGAGGTTTATGTTCACTTGAAGTCAAATACTAAATTAACAACAACACAGATTATTACTCTCTGAACTACAGCTAAAGCTGTTATCTTCTGATTTTCACTAGAAATGTGCTGGTGTTTGGTAATTCAGTATACAGTGAGACTAAATGCAGATGCAGATCAGAAGTAGATCATTGGATATAGATCAACTCTGCTTTCATAAGTTTCCACTACACCAGTGTTTCCCAACCCTGGTCCTGGAGCACCCCCTGTCCTGCCCCCTGCTCTGTACATTTTAGTGTTTTCTCTGCTCTCAGCACACCTGATCCAGCTAAGCAACTAATCAACAAGCTTCTTTAGTGGGTCTTTTAGAGCAGGAAAACACTGTGATGTGCAGGGCAGATGGTTCTCCAGGACCAGGGTTGGGAACCAGCGCTCTGCACTGTCACGTTCTGATCAAGTGATGTGGTCCCTCCTCTTAGCAGGTCAGGTAAACATTTACAGTGCGCAGCATGCCAAGAAAGGAGAGCTTTCAGAACTTTTTCCTCTCTATTTACCACATAAATGAACGATTTCGCTGTGAAAGTTGTTATTTCGTGGCCTACTAGGTGCACTACATAGGGAGTTATTTGAGACACAGCCAGAGAATGATAGCATGCCAACAGATTTAGCATTTAGATCTCTAAACTACAAAATTTATGCCCCTCTTACTTAACTGTGATTTGTAACTGCTCTCTTAAAGCAGCACTGTGTAATATTTTTTGTTAAAACTGAAAGAAGTAACATTACTAAGTATGGAGAAAAAAGAACACATTAAATTATGGTGCCGCTGCGAGTCGCCTTGTAAAGCCTGAAATAATCATTTAAAAGTCAGAGGACGGATTTGACGGGAGTGTTTTGGACCATGTCTAACATCTTTACTTTTCTGTTAACGTCACACACTGGTTTGAAAAGAATGTCCGACTTGATGAGGTAAACTGTTATTAGTCTGCCTCAGACCCTCAAACAGTACGGGGATCGTGGCGGTCCCTTCTGCTGAGCTGGTCCTCCCTGACATCATCCAGTTTAAGTCATATGTTGCTAGGTAACATTACTGTAGCCTCTATGTGTAACACAAGTTTATATTTAACACATTATTTTATTCAAGACCTCATTTTATCAAGTGATACTAGCAACCAAGCCAGCTAAATATTTCACTTTTTCTGTTTAAAATACTCCAATGAAAGCCCTTTGCTGTCACCTTATCTAATGGGGACAGTGGCTGCAGTTATATGTAATGTAACACTAGCTAGCTAAAGAAAACATTCACAGACACTAACTTTTACTCTGACTAAACCTTGTCCAGAAGGTCCCCTTGAAATGAATTGGCCCTGGGGCTGTCAGAATCTTCATATTAAACATGCTAGCTAACTAGCTAACCTACCTAACTAACTGCTGCTGTCTGATCTGTACCTGACCCAAATGGTGCCCCCAGTAGCTAACATTTAATAGCAAATAATGTAAGCTAAGTTACCCAGCATTTTCCAAATAACAACACTTTGGAGAGCAAAAAACTACTTTCTTAGACTTTCTTAGTAATGATAAAAAATGTTTGTCTGTGCTGACTGGACAGGGAGAGTTGCAGGATCTCAGCATGTTCTCAGCTCCAGTTCTAACTACAAATAGGCCTGCATGATAGTGAGCATCAATATGTGGAGCAGTTTAATTTTTTTGCTTTTTTAGTAATTATTTTTTGTACATATTGTACATGTATAACCATATACGCAGCACTCCTATTGAAAATGATATTGAGAATTTGTTTTGTTTGGCTGTAAACAAACAAGCCATTGCCATGACATGATGTTATTAAGACATTGCATAAACTGTGATAAAAGGTTATGATCGTGATATAAAATTGGCATGTCAGCCATGTATGCCGAATTTTTCACATACCAGCTTTCAGCAGCACAGCACTGTACACTGTAAAAAGTGGCTCGTCAGATCTACTTAACAAAATTACTTCATGTGGTAACAAGCAACTTAACTAATACTTTGAATGAACAATTATTTCAATGTGGTGTTTTAAGTTGAATAAAACTAGTTCAATTGCTTGTTACCACATGAAGTAATTTTTTTAAGTAGATCTGACAAGCCACTTTTTACAGATGCCACGATTTGCTGTTTTAACCTAAAAAGTGAGTAATCTGCATTGATTTTTTAGGTCAAATAATAAGTTAATAAAAGCCAAAACACATGATGAACTTAAGTAATCATTCATTTTGATGAGGCTTAAAATCATATTTATACACAAAATATTAGCTGAATGTTCACTCCACTTTCATTTCATTCCCGTCTCATTAATGGTACTTGGAAAAAAGTTCCTCCTAAAAACATTTTATTTACAAGTGAGTTTGGACATCTATTTTAATCTCCAACAGCAAGAGCTTTTATATTGTCTCTTGTTGTGTGACTAGGCATTCAGTGTTCATGCATAAAATGATGTTGAAAAAACTTAATCTGAAAAACTTATCCAGCTGTTTGCCTTAGCTGTTCCATGGTCCAAAGAATATGTATATATACATACTGTAAAAAGTCAGTCAATGTTTGTCAGTTCAACCTAAGCAAGTAAATGAACTGTTGGTACTACATGATGTTTTGTGTATATATATATATATATATATATATATATATATATATATATATATATATATATATGTATATATATATATATACACACACACACACAAAGAGATTGTAGCAGTGATGTATTCATAATATTAATGCTGTAAGTCTTTGGTTGAACGTGGGATATTATAGGGAAGACCGTGCCCTTTGGTCAGCAGGTGTTTTCTCTCAGCAATAAATGTTCTCCCTGACTCTCATTTTTAAATCGTAATCTTACTGCCTGGATGGCACACTGTACTCGGCCCAGTATTTTATTGTTGCTGCAGTGGTTTATACAGTAACCAAAAACCAAATTCAAGTAAATCTACTGTTACTTCTTACTGAAATAATAACTCTAGTAAAAGTCAAAGTAGCTGAGGTCCCTTTAGAACCACAGTGGAGCTTTTTAATTCATCTGGCATCTTTCAGCAAAAGAAGTGAAGTTTGCTAAGCACTGCTCTTATCTTTTTCAGTTTTAAGTACGTTGAGTAAGTGAGAGATTTGAGCAATGGTAAAACATTCCAGACTCTTAACCAACAGAACAGAATAAAATGAATTGCAAACAAGGCATTTTGAACTAAAGCGAAGGAAAAATGAATACTTCTTGAGTATACGTAAAACTATCAATTTCAAATAGAAAAGTACAAACCCATCAAAAATTTTACTTAAATACACGTTTGAGTAAATGTAAGTAGTTTCTACTCACTTCAAAATCCATGCCGTAGATACTGGCCAGTATGCTGGCACGGATTTCTTGATTTGTGACGGGCAGTGCATCAGAGTGTGCTTCTTGGCTCATGATGAGATCAACCTGCTGGAGTCAAATGAATTTCAGCATGTGACTTCCTCCATAAAATAAAACAACTGGTCTCTTTTACTGTTAGTTTGCCTGTGAAACTGTTCTTTTCTCCACACAGCCAAAGTAGAGCATAGCACACACATCACACGTTCAACATTTATTGACCTCTGTGCCAGATTAGAAAAAAAAATATCAATAAGTTTGATGTGGCTGATAAGGGAGATTATGAGCATATTTTGATCTTTGAGTGACCCTGGGCTGATTCCCTAGAACTACAAAGCACTTTGCAAAGCTGAATCTGGAACACAAATATTTAGAAACTGTCTATCCGGTTCATCAAACATGGATAAAATCTCATTAGAGTCAATCATTTGTCCTCTGTAGCAAATCCATCATATCTCATGCTGTTGACACAGTCTACAACCCACATCTAAGAGATTCTTCATCTGTATTTTTAGCTTTGTAATATTGTACATCTGAAATTATGTTCTGACACATTGATGGTGACCCTTGATTGAACCTAATGGAGGCCGGTTCGTGGCCGGTCTGTCATTCTGATAACAGTATTTGACAGTGATAATTCTAGAATTCTATTCTTCTCTGTGTTGATGCAGAGGAAACAAAGTGTTCACCCACATATCCATTTAAACCAACTTAAACCAACGAACGCTGGGTTTTTATTAAATTTGCACGTCTAGATAACCATATCAGCCCTCGAGATCAGCTTGATATTGAGCCTCACCCATTTTCAATTTTCACCCAATTCAATTTTATTGTCAAAAAAGTGTTGAGGTTTACATTATACCCATGTTAAACCTATGAATATAATCTTTGTTTTCATCTCTCTCATCTCTCCCTCATCTCTTCAAAACTGTGACATTATACACTCATGAAAAAGATGGTTCATTAAGGGTTCTTTGGTAAAGGGAATGGCTCTATTTAGAACCATGAGTTCTATATAGAACCATTTCATGCTTAAGTAGTTCTTTGCTTTGGTGAAATAGTTCTGTATATTCTATATATGGTTCTATATAGAGCCTTTTTGAAAATGGTTCTATATAGCATCAAGAAGCATTCTCCAGTTGTTACAGTGTTAAGCTTGTAACAACAGAAGAACTCTTTTTGTTGCTATAGAGAACCATTTTCAAAAGCTTCTATATAGAACCATATACAACACATTCTCCAATCAGAAGAACTATTTCACCAGGCAGAGAACCACTTAAGCATGGAAGGGTTCTATATAAACCTCATGGTTCTAAATAGAACCATTCCCCTTACTAAAGGACCCTGGGAAAACATTGAGTTTGTTAATGTAAACGAGTCATTTTCTACCATTCGTGTTGGTCCATTTGTCATTACAAGGTCACACAATATAAAGAGCAACTGATTCTTACCTACAGCAGTGCTTCTTGCAGGTCTTCCAATGATGAGAAAACAGCAACCTTCAGTGTTTTATACCCACACCATACCACTGAGATTTATGACCATCACAAATGTACAGAAAAAGACACGAAGCCCCACCATAATAAATAAAACTAAAAACTGTCCAGTGTACTGTTCTTTAGTATGACAGCACCATTTATCATGTCTAAAAGTACAATATTTATGCGATAATGGCTGGGACAGTATCTGTAATATGTACACATTAGACATAAATAACACAGTGTCAGAAAAAAAATGAATAACTCACCATCATGCAGCCTGGTGCAGAAGTGTTAGACTGTGCTTGAGAATCATTGAGTTTTAAGGCCACTCCTTTCTAGACACTAATTATGTTGTGTTTTTACATTGTGAGTCTTTTGAGATGATTATTATCCATTTTATTAAAAAAAGTCAAATTATAATGCGCACTTAATGTTATCACAGTAATATAGTGTGTGTGTATGTGTGTGTACATATGCATGTGTGTTTTCCCACAGTGCATGTGCACACAACTTTTGGTGTCAGTTTATAGGTCTAATAACAATAAAATAATAAATATTAATCAGCTTCCGTTTATCATGCTTATCATTCATTGCACTCAGGGCATTGTACTATAAACCAAAGAGAGGTTTGAATGTATTGTAATTGATTAAAAGGCGTATATTCAGGCATGTGCTGAAGTTTGATCACTCATTTTTTAAATATTTTGGGATTTTTCTGTTTATTTGCTGGATTTAACAAATTCGAAAACATCAAAGGTGCCATAACTTTTGCACAAACTACCTTTTATGTTTTTCTCCAGAAGTTTTTCCTGTGCAGACGTCTCCTCTGTAGAGGATATACTTCTTCTTATTTTCACTTAGAAAATCAAGAAAACAGAGAACATGAGCAGGAGGTTCCACAAAAAGATTTAAACTTTTGAATTCAAGTGGGATTCAAGTCTCAGTTGTGCCATGTGACATCTTGTCTTGGCTAACTTGCCATGACTGTGTGGTCATTTGCTAGAGCCACTTAGCCCTCAGCTCTGAGTGTGTTAAAGTACTTGACAAAGCTATAAAACTCCCAGTGCAGTTGTACTATAAAGCAATGATCTATCATGTAGGAAACTACATTGATCCAATATGTAAACACTGGGTGAAAAAAACAGGAGTTGAATTCTCTGTTCTAGAGAAACTGACTGCATCAAGAAAGTTATTACATGAAATAGTAAATGGTCTGATGCTGGAGACATTGTTTCATGATACTTTTGAGGAAAAGTTTGGAATTTTTAAAAATCCATTCCTGGCAAAGAGGTGTTTTGCATTGTAAGGCAAAATAGTCCCCAGAGATTTTTTTTTTTCTCAGATTTACTGATATTTTACCATCATCACCATCATTACATATGAAAACTCCAAAGACATGTATAGTGTAGCTTCACAGGTCAGTTTGGATAGTAAATAAAAATAGACATTGTGACCCCTGGTTCCTATCATCACCACTGTAAATTTCATGTGTTTCTCTACAAGGCACTGATTCACAAACCACTCTGAATGACTGCATCTGAACAATTGAATTTGCAGAGACACAAAAAAAGGTGCAGAGGTGGAGTTCACCTTTAATGATATACAGCATGGAAAAGGTTCTACAATTAGAGAGTGCAGTATAATGCAGTTCTTCATTTTAACAACACACCACACATTATGAGCTGGTGATAATACAGGTTTACTAGCAGGATCATCTTCATAGTGTGAAGACGGTAATCAGAAGTAGCTCTCAAGTCTGGAACTAACACAACGCAATCCATTCTTACATTTTTTGTGTTTCATTTTAGTGAGTTTGTATATAATGTAAAAAAAAAAAAGAATTGTTTAAAATCACAGCAACGTACTGTAACAGTAATCACACTGTATTATAAATTACCATACTTCTGAATATAGTTGATGTTTGTTCTCAAATACAGTTGATGTATTTGTACAGTATTTCAGTATGTGCACCGACAGCTGGCTGAGGACCACAGGAGAACACCACAGATCTAGCTAGTTAGCAAGCTATCTTCCGGCAAATGCTTGAACATGCATTCATGCATACGTTTACGTAGTTAAGAAAATGAGAAATAAAGAAAAGCGAAAAGAATAAAAAATAAACAATTGCAATAATAATAATAATAATAATAATAATAATAATAATAATAATAATAATCAGATATTAAGGCATTGAAAATATGTTGCAAAGCTCTAGCTCTGAGGAAAGTATTGCTCAGTGCCTCATATTTGTTATTACTATCGTCTAACTGCTTGTGAGTATAAACCAATATGTATACATTTACATTGTTTACAGTTACAGTTACAGTTTATGGAATGAACTATTAGCCAACATTAATGCAGAATGCAGCGTTTCTCATTGGTCAGAAATACTTTCTTCAGAGCAGCAGACCAGTAGTGAATTTGTTGAACAATGTATGATGCCCATTCAAAGGGACTGACAAGTTAACAAGAACTGAGGACACAAGAGTTACAAAAGAAATATTATAACAATTTATAACTGGTGCATTGTACAATAGTATTTATTGCTAAACGTTTTTTGAGTTATTTAAGGAGTGCATATACATTTCAACGTCCTTTTTGAATAAGACTTGAGTAAGACTGAAGTCACAAGTTACTTTCCTTCTGAGAAAATCTGAACAGTCAGACCAGAAAACTTTGCAATAGAATTATTCAGAGCTGATGACGGCGCTCAGGCCACGCCCCTCGGCCGCCGGCGTCCTCGGTGTCCATGGAAACGCCTGAGCCCTTGTTTGGCTAGTGAAGAGAGGCTAGTGGAGAATGTCGCCCACCGCGGCCGAGGGAAGCGCTACCGTTAACAGCCCTGCTAGCGCAGACGGCGAGTGAAACACCGCGCACGATGGAGGCAGAGGTTCGAGAGCACCATGAATGACAAGTACCACAGGGCAGCCCGGGATGGCTACCTGGACCTGCTGAAAGAGGCGACGCGGAAGGACCTGAACGCCCCCGACGAAGATGGCATGACACCGACGCTATGGGCCGCTTACCACGGCAACCTGGACGCGCTGAGGCTCATCGTGGCGAGAGGGTGAGTCCGCCGGGCTCAGGTTTATTACACGCTTTACAACTCTGATCGTTTCAGAACCAATAAAATAGCTTATGGCCATTAAAACTGAGCATCATCTTTCAACGAGGTGACAGTTCTGAAAAGGCTGTTGTTTAGCTTAATGAGTGGTCCTCATGTTGGTGGGCTGCTTCATAGTGTCCCACTGCACCAACAAGAAGATCATCATGTAATACTGGGCAAGCTGTTAGGTCATGTGGGCCAGACGAATGAAAATTTCATCTTTTATTCAGTTTGCCTTTAAAAAGTGACTTTTGCAATTGAATTGGCCTATAAAGCATATTTCCTTTTCTCCATTTAGAAAGAAAACAGTAATAAGCACTAAGTGAAATTAAAATGTTTTGTTTTAAGTGACCCCTGTGGCCCAACACTTGTAACATTTGAATACACCTCATCAGGCTATTATAAAATCTGCAATTCATTGGACAGGACAATATATCACCTTGTAGCAATATATTACTTTTATTTTCTTCTGGCTGCTATGAAAAGATTATGTTCTTCCATTTTATAGGAGAAACATATAATTGTGCAGGTGCTATCCACTCCAGCTTGTAAACTATTTACTGTGGTTCCATTTTCTAAACTATTTATAGACTATAAATGTAAAATAGACAGGTTCTGCTTTGAGTAGAAGCAGTTCTACTCAAGTTCTGCTTTCAAGTAGGCTCAGATTATATATATATAATATACACTATATATAAAATTACACACACATATATATATATATATCTCAGAGCATCATTCTCAGAGCTCATTCTGTGGTTGCAGTGACACTACACTGAAATCATTTTGCTTTGCATCCATTTGCTTTATTAATTAAACAGTATCTGAAGAGTGGCCACATATTGGTGAAGGACCAGCGAAAGAGGACATACAAAAGCCTTTTTCACAATCTTTCTGGCTGACCTGTTTTCCTGGCCTGATCTGAGAGGCCCATTATGAAAGAGGTTAATTGGCAAAAGTTCTCAAACACTGGCCTGTGGGATGCCAGTGGGTTTGGCCAACTGAACGGCGCCGGCTATCGCGTGATCTCTCCCAGACAAAGCCAGGCTTGAGTGCCATGTGCACGGGCTGCTAAAGCATGGGGAGCAATTAAGGTAGGTGCCTTTAGTTCCCCGGCTCATTGTGCATACTTCCCTTTTGTCTGTCATGCCGCTGCATGACTTATACCAGAAGTCATGGCATGAGTTCCCACCACAACTCACAACATGAGACTTTACACAAGGCCATGAATAGAACACCTCGCTCTTCCCATCTTAATTTATTGAGACATAAACCTTGGTGCTGGAACACTGCTAATAACCTCTAAAGAGAGACATTTATAGTTACTGGTGGATCATATAGCAGTCAGCGCTTGTGAGATTGCAATATAGACTTACTGTCAGGTTAGTGGCTTTATAGCACAGTAGCAGCAATCTGTCATATTGTTCCAAGTTTGGTAACACTGACAGCGCAAGATAGGGTTGAGCGGGGCCTACGTTTAAATTAACATCTTAGATAAATATCGCTCCCACACACTGATAATTTGTAGGAACTGTCATTATTTAAGCAATGGCAGCCTACAAGGAACAGTTTTCACTTTTCACACACCTGTATCAATAGTAGTTGTGTGGACGTGCTCCATTTGGACTGTCGTATCTAGCTCAGGTCAGAACAAACAAGCCTTTTGCTCTTGTGAAGGGGATTTCAAAAGAACTCATGAAGTTCTCTACACTCAACTGAATACTGAAGGATGACTTGGCACACTGTGAATTTTGCTGCTGCACAGGGCAAAAGGTTTTTTTTTTGTATTGAAATCACAGTTTGAAGAAGCTTGATTTTCAAGAACTCAAGCAAGAACTGCAATGTCAATTAAAAGCCTACCTTACTGAAAACGTTCTCTCAGGAAGTGGGGAATTTAACTGAATAACATAGAGCTTAGATGATTAAGATTTCAACAAAGACATTCAGAGTGGTTGGGTGAAAAATGCTCCACTCTAGAGAAATGTACTGAGTCATAATTGTTCATTATGGTGGTGAGAAGAACCAGACTTCTGAAGAGTTTAATGCCTGTAGAAGCTACATCACAGGAGGTTATTACTTGAATGCTGTTTGATGTCTGAGACTTAGACTACGATAGTTACAATAGTTTTGAGAAAAGATTTTGGCCTAAAGAGGTACATGCAGGGCGTTGTAAGGCAAATAGTCCCCTGAAACAATTATTTTTATGTTTAGAAAATAATTGCTGGCAATCACAATATCGTTGGAAAAATCACAATTAGATATTTTCCCCAAATCGTTTAACCCTACTGCTACATTGCTGTATGCTATTGAAAACTGTAGGGCTTCCTTTTGCATACTTTGGCTTTTTCGCCGCTGAGACACTGTAAATTTTGCACATTGCAAATATTCGTATCCATCGTCTTACACATCTTAGAATAGCCCAAACACACTTTCTACTGTTTACTCATGTAAAAGGACAATAAACCTTTATTGTATGCACACTTACATAAGCAGATTTTCTCTCTTAGAACAAAAATTCTATTCTAATTTTGTCTAATCTGGTATACTCATTTGGAGCTCTCTGACATTTATGCTGTTGACTAGGAGTTGGAAATGAGGAAGTGGACCAAAAATCTGTAGGGAAAATAGGCCTTTTCCTTATATGGAGTGAGTGACCATGCCTTCAGAGAAGGAAATTCAGTTTAGCACTTATACCTATTTTATATTTATCTGATGACCTCCAATATGCTCAGAAAATGCGGTTCAGCAATAATATATCAAAGAGAAGGTTGAAATCAGGGTCAGACAGGTTAGCAGGGGATAATCCCAGTGCTGGCTAAGTCCAGCACTGAACACAGCTTCACTGCCATCTGTGAAAACCTCGCAGCTTTGCTCATCTATAATGCACCGCTGCAGGGCCTTGCCTGCAGTCTGTCAAATATTGATGAGCTCCACTGCTGCATGAGTGCCACGGAGCCGAGCGAGATCCAGGTCAGGAGTTGCATACATTAAACCCCTCTGAAAAGGAGTACTCATCTGGGGTCATTTTCTACATTCCTGTTTTCTCAGTAAATACAGTTCTATGGACTGGGAAGACACAATCCTTCCTTAGCACCCTTCCTCTATCTCAGTAACTATAGCATATATCTTACAGTACCGAGTCTTGAATGTAGTGAGGAGTTACCTTGAACATTTCTGTGCTGAACGTTTCTGATAAAGTTTTTTACCAACACTTAATGTAAGCAGAGTTGATGAAGATTAATGTTACTCTGCTTACACACATTTCTTTTTCCTACATCTACTTTAACTTGCACCTGTGCCACTTTTCTCCAGTGCTATCAGTTCCCTCATGGTTTTGTTCTTCGATCCCTGTGTGATCATTAAATAAAGAGTAAATTCATACCATGCATACAGTAAAATCTTTACCGCTTTGAGCACAAAAAGTAGAGGTCTATGTGAAATGGAAAGTGCAGTTTACAGTAATCTTTTAGGAGAAGCTTTGAGATGATTACCTGTGCTATCGGTAATCACAGGTGCAATAAAATACTGGGATAATGGGGCACACCTAAAACATATCTGATATTCAGTGCCAGAATTGCATAATCCCTCAAGGGTCATTTGGTTCACTCATTTGGAGCTGTCTGGAAATTATCTACAAGTTGGAAATGAGGAAGTGGACCAAATACCTACAGGGAAAAAAGGCTATTTCCTCATGTAGAGCTCCACATTTAGAGTTAGAGACCATGCCTTCAGAGAAGCACTTATATCTGTGGTTTTGTTATCAAACAGTGACATTCTAGAAGTTAAAAGAAAAGCTTCAGGCCAGAATTTCTTGCTTTTGTCAGTGGCTGCACTTTGGGTGCTGGAATTCAGGGTGACATCACGTCGATTGCAATCCTACCGGTCTTCCCTGAAAGGGGATACCCATAGCATTACCACGTAGGCAAGCCGATGGTCATATTACAGATGCTCTGGTTCGGCTTCATTGGAGATGACCCTTCGGTCACTAGCTTGTGAGCCATGTACCATAATAATTCATTCAGGCCTTTGCCATGAAGATATTGTCTTTTTAAGTTTTTAAAGCTTGTTCTCTGCTCTCTTCCGTACCTTCTTGTTTCTCTTAATATTGTGTCTGTTATGTGTCTCTTGAGCATTTTATGAAAGCAATATTCAGGCAAAGTGAAGCACTTTAGAGTGATAGTCTTGTAAATAATTTACTGTCTGCTATGGTCCTGTTTATGCCTGAGAAGTCAGTGCTGAAAACATGATCAAAGAATCATGTGCTTGCCTCAGCTGTTTCAGGTCGACTGTGAAGAATTATAAAAGCTTAGTGCTGCCTGATCGTGTTTCACCCAACACCTTGAAGTGTTGAGCACATAAGCGTGCCCTTGTATGAAACATGAATTGTTTTTTTATCATGCTATGTATCATATTCACACAGATGAAATTACATCATCCTTGCTTTCATAGGTCATCACACCTGATGCCTGAACACATGATGGTGAGTCTTTATGAAATATTGGATAGTGACGTCTTTGTGTCTCCTCTGATGCTGTTTTAGAGGGAACCCTGATAAGTGTGACATATGGGGCAACACACCACTCCATCTGGCTGCTGCCAATGGCCATCTCAACTGCCTGTCCTTCCTGGTGTCGTTTGGTGCCAACACCTGGTGCCTGGACAATGACTACCACACACCCCTGGACATGGCTGCCACCAAAAGCCACATGGATTGCGTGCGCTACCTGGACTCCATTGCCGCCAAGCAGACGGCCCTCAACCCCAAGCTGGTGGCCAAACTAAAGGACAGGGCCTTTCGCGATGCCGAACGCCGCATCAAAGATTGCGTCAAACTGCAGCGCAAGCATCATCGCCGCATGGAGCGCAAGTTCCAAAAGGAGGCCACCGAGGCCTCCGTCTCTGATGCCATGAGCTTCTCCAGCTACAGCAGCAGCACCCTTAGCCGAAAGCTGCACCACTTTAACACTGCCACCAGTGTGCCATACTCTCAGGTGTGCCTCCCTGATATCTTTCAGAATAACAGAAAGAGAACATTCCGAATCATTTGGAATTTTTCAGGACCTACAACTATGAGCTACCATAAATATTCTTGGTATGCCTGTATTTATAGTACATCTAGATGTTGTGTAATTCAATTCAATGTATTGAATTTAGTGCTTTTTGCAATAGGTGTAAATCACCTTTACAGAAATATGCGTCCACACCACTGATGAGAACGGAATAAACTCAGGACAGTTCTGGCAGGAAAAATCTTAAGAGCGTTAGAATAAAAACCTTGCGTCTGTCTGACATTGTAACTCTTGCAAGAAGGTTATTCCATAGTTGAGGGGCATCATTTTAGGTAGTGGTAAAGTCTGCACCTTGTGATTGCAAGAGTGGCATATCATAATAGGTGATGAAGATATGAATCTGGTGTTGTGGTCTCTACTGTTTCAGGCTACCCTCCATGCCACGGCCAGGGGCAAAACCAAGATCCAGAAGAAGCTGGAGAAGAAGAAGCAGGGCGACGGGACCTTCAAGATCTACGAAGATGGCAGGAAGAGCGTCCGCTCTCTTTCTGGCCTGCAACTTGGTAATGATGTCATGTTCTTGAAGCAGGGCACCTATGTGAACCCCAAAGACCGTGGCCGGCGTAACATCCGCGACATGTTCCCGCGGGATGAAGATGCCATCTCGCGTGCCATCAGTGAGCCAGACTTGCACGGGCCTGATGTGGATTACTCTGAGATCAGCACTGACTCAGGCCATGACTCACTCTTCAACCGCCCAGGTCTGGGCACCATGGTCTTCCGACGCAACTACGTGAGTAGCGGCCTTTTTGGCATTGGAGCCCGGGATGAGGGCAGTTTAGCTGGAAGTGGACGAGCTCCCAACGTGCGTTTGCGCAGCCGGCTCCAGCGCTCCCCCAGTCTGGACGAGGACAGTATTGGCAGTGCCCGGAGCCTTCAAGAGAGGAACATTGAGGAGCTTCCCTGGGATGAGGTGGAACTTGGGCTGGATGATGATGATGAGCCAGAGAGTAGCCCACTGGAGGTGTTCCTGGCTGCTCAGAGCATGCATGAGTTCATCCCCATATTTAAGAGGGAGAAGATTGACTTGGAAGCGCTGTTGCTGTGCTCTGATGATGACCTTAAGGGCATCCATATTCCCCTGGGACCCCGCAAGAAGATTATTGATGCCTGCAAGAGACGCCTGGAGACCATCGAGGACCCCGACAGCATCGAGGACACCGAGTTGTAAGTTGCAAACCACATTATTTCCAGTCGGAACACATGTGAAGAGGTGTCAGGTTTCTAAGAATGATGTGTTAGGTGAAGTTTACAATGGTATATTCTTATCCTTAAGCAACGATTTGGGCAAAAATCAAATTTAAACCATTTTTACTTCACCCCATTTATGTCAAATCAGCCAAAACGTGAACATCTTCATTGGTTTTGCTCAGGGCCTACAAGGCTAATATATCTAACAAGCCACCTGTTAACATTGGTAAATGTCATACCTGAATCATCACACACACAAACCACAGTGAGGTTATGCCATGCTGCAGTTGTTCCCAGTCCTGGTCCAAGTCACTGCTCTGCACCACATAAACAATATTTGATATACCAACCTCAGTTCCAAAAACGTTGGGACAGTATGTGAAATATTAATAAAAGACAGAAAAAAGTGATTAGTAAATTCTGCTTGGTGTGTATTCAATTGAAAACAAAAAACACAATATTTAGTATTTGATGGCTGCATATGTTGCTTCAAAATGTGTTTATATCTTTTAGCATTAATTGTTTCTGGCATAAGGACTAGGCCTTTCCTGAATGCTCCTTATAGCTTGTAGTGTAGCTAAAAATACAGGGAGATTCACTCAAAAGAGGCCCTGAATATTCTGTTGTAACTCCCTTTAGGATGAAGCAATCTGAACCAAAAGAATACGCTACATACCGTGACGTATGTGTAAAAGATTGCCTTACATGTGATGTTGGAAGTGATCTCCGTTTTCTGCCGGACACATGAAGGGGTACGGGGCTATGTACCCGGAAGTTGCAAACGGAGATTAAATGTTGTGACGGCTGTCCGGCGCCTACCTCATCACTCCAACGCAGGAGCATCCGGCTTGTTCGAAGCTCCATATACTGAGGATCACATTGCACGTTGTTTCTTTCAGATTGCTTCGTCCTAGCGAGAGTTATTACAGAATATTCAGGGCCTCTTTCGAGTGAATCTCCCTGTATAATCGAGCTATCAAATCAAGAAATCAATCGGTCAATTTCAGAATTAGTGAGAACAATGAAGTTGATAAGGTAAAACATTAAATAACTTGTGTTACTGTTTTCGTTTAAATACTAGTCAAATATACTTACCATGCTTTAGTCAATGCGGTTTGAAGCAAGTATGTGATATTTAGGAATGCAGTTTGCAGAATGCTAAAAGGTATCTATAAGCTTCCTTTATTTGTTAGCTACACTAGCCTCATCGTGCCAGTGCAAAACTTCAGAAAACATGCCTTGGCAGATTGACTATATGTGGGGTAAAAGAAGATTTGATTTTTGGCCTATCCATAATTTTAAGGATATCATTATACAGTTATACATGAAAAATTGAATGAAAAATACATGAAGAACTGTAACTACTGTTTACTGCACAATATCCGAGTGGCTCTATATCATCTGAATGTTATTTCTTTTTACAGATAGCAAATAGGACTTTGCTACATAACTTGTGCTTTTGGACATCACAGCTCATGTGAAGCAAGACAGACAGATACTTGCACTCAGCGGAGAAATTCACTGAATGGACCTGTGTGAAATTGCCACGTTTCTGTGGATTTTAAACAATACAACAGTGTCCCTTTGTCATAGGAATAACTTTGAATTTGACAGACAATATTACCTCCATGACTGGCACATACAGTGAAGTATGTAGTGACAGCAATCAAGCTGAAGTTCCACAGTTGCCATACATATCTATGGGCAAATCTTGCTGAGAGCCTAGCCTGACTAGGTCAGATCCTATCAGCATCTCTCTCAGCCCAATGTGTCTGCCCCTGTGGGGCATGAGTCTTAGTGCCTGTGTTTTCAGTGCCCGCACGTGTCTATTGAAAATGTCATTTCAGACATGGTTTAAATATAATGTTAGATATTTTTGATTATGATGTAGCCTCTTAGCAACTCTCAATTTCAGCATACAAAGACTGTGTAGAACAAGTGGCATGTTTGGTTAGATTTTAAAAGCATTTTATAAAACTTTTTACCACCGTGAAACTTTTATATGCTGCCTAAGTGATGTCTGTCCTAGATTGACTAGTGGTCGCTAATAGACATATAGATGTGGGAACTTGATCCTGACCGATATGAAAATTTTGTGATCAATAGCAATTTTAAGGAGATTCTGAAAAATTCTGAAACTGATAACATTGGACAATATAATTCATATGGTTTTTGGCCTTAAATACATGAAACACATGAAACCACTAAATCTGTTAATTATAACATAAAACAAGCCACAAATGATCAGTTCTTCATCTGTGGGATTTTTGTTTTGACGTTATTTGAAAGTGCCTGTTGTCCTTTTCATTGTGTGTAAATTTCATGGTGAATGAACCAAAAGAAATGACCCAAAATTACTGGTAAAAAGTCTGGTCCCATTGACTTACAATAAAAGTAAAGTATGTTTTTTCCTTCTCCTGTAAAGTTACCATTTTGGAGATACGAGGTTTTTCTAATAGAGATATATTTATATATATATATATATATATATATATATATATATATATATATATATATATATATATATATATATATATATATATATGCACACACACAATGGTCAGGCCCTAATAGGAACCCTGCTTTTGCAGGCTAGTGAATGTCTAGAGATGCATTGCAAGTTTTGACATCCATCAGTTGTTTACATGTGTCAAGCCATACTTCAGCCTGAGAGTGGGGACAAAATGGGATTTTTTTCTTGCTCTTTGCTGACTTACTTTGGTTTGCACTCATGCCATATTATTACAGACACATTCCTATTCTACATGCTATACGTTCCACAGTAATGTATTTGGTGTCCAGCACAGCCTCATTTTTCAAGTCATTCCCCCAGCAATCAGGACTTGCTACCTGTATACTTCTTTTATTCATGTGTTTTTTATATTGTTTTGTAAAATAGTAATATAAAATGATAACCACCATTGAAAACCCATGGAACTTTATGTCGTCTTTATGAGCAATGACTTAAGACAATAAACTGATAACACAACTGTGTTTCTGTGTCTTGTTGAAGTCTTTTTTACAGGTTGTTTTTTACCAAACAACTTGGGGTTTTATATGCAATAAAAGAGGAGAAAATGTAGGTAGTATAGAAAGAAAAGTTTACAAATACAGTATAAAGCTATAAAAAAAGGATGACAGTTATGCCAAACGAAAGGCTCCGTACATATATATATATATATATATATATATATATATATATATATATATGACATGACCATAACTCTATATAGATAACATATACATTTATAATTTTAATGTATTATATAATATACTTCATAAATTTATACAGGCTCACTAAACTGATTAGTATCAGTTTTGGATTTGCTCCACATTATATAACTCAGCCTTCATTGTGTATTCCTTGGGTGTATAGAATTTTGAGACTACATCTTACCAGATATTATTCGTCTGCTAAATTTTAAATATGGTTTTATATTTTTTTCCATTAATTTTCATCAGCTAAAGCTCCAGACTTCACGACTGAGAACAACCTTTGCTATTCTTTTGAGTATCTGTCTGTTTTACAAAATTTATAACTGGTGGCATTTTTAAAGTTGCATTATAACAGTATGAAATATTCCAATAGCAGAATCATCTTTATTGATTATAATATAGATATACATATAGATAATTCCAGTCTTTTGACTGATATTGTTCTTATAGCATAACTTGTCAGGAAGGATACAGCCTTCTTGACAAATTTTAGAGGAACAATAAAATCTTAGTTTTCCATAGCAGGAAAAAGCAGGAAAATATCATGTTCTGGATGCTATTGTCTGTGCTTTTTATGACATAATTACACTGTCTTAAAATGCATAAAAATATAGTATTCAAAATATGGTAATATCACATTTCCTACTTAATGTCCAACATTGCCTTTCAATGCCTTTTAAGCTTTCTATTACATAGCAAATGCCTACATAATAAAAAGCATGGACAGTAGCATTCAAAACATGGCATTGTCACGCTATTTCCTGCTATAGAAGAATAATAATTGTCAAAAGCCTGTCTTTATCAAGACTCGGAGAAGTCATGACCTCAATGTGCTGCACAAATATATACAAAACAAGGAAATGAATAGCACCACATGGAAAAAAGGTTATCGTAGTTACCGTGCTGCCCTAAAATTTTGAGATTATTAAACTTCAACTAGTAAGTCAGCAGAATGTATGACAAGGATTCTTGCTCTGTTAACTTACTATTAGAAGTTCAATTAGCTCAAAATTTTAAAGCAGCACGGAAACCTGAAACTATTTTTTTAACAGTGCATGAACAAAACTGAGCAGAAAATTGATTTAACCGCTAAGAAATTTAACACTGAAAATCACATTACAAGACATTAACATTACAAGACAAATGGTCTTGTAATGTTATCTTCATCAAGAATATATCAAATGACCTTTGTAAAAATTCATTTGACACCTATGCCAGGGCAAATGACTGACATTATACAACCGAAGGGTTAAACACTGAGAAGCTATGACGTCAACTAAAGTCATCAAGTACCAATACCTCGTAAAATTGTTGTAAAAGGAGCTCACATCAAATTAACTTTTATGATTGCCCATGACAAGTGCCACTTGAAGCAATACGTTGTTAAGTCATTTGGTTATCTTTTTCAGACAGTAGAGATGGAGATATGTTGGGCAACATTAAGGTCGTAGGTGTTTTATGGCCCTATTTTCCTTAAACTTTATAGTTCTGTAATACAAAGGAGTCCAAGTATACTGAAAGAGACAAATAACCTATGTCTCTTTGAGTATACTTGGAATTTTTGGTCTGTCTTCATTCTTTTTATTGTTCTAGTTCATGCAAGACCAGATCGGGTAACCCCCCACACACTCTTGTATGGTGGATAATTCATTATTTCTGTGAAAAGTGGAGTTGTTACTGATGATTTCAAACCATCCAATCAGTTTGAGTTTACTCAGATATTCTCAAAATCTCCAAGAAATTCTTTACATTTTTACTAAATGCTATAAAGGTACAGTCTGGGATGTGGGGTCGCTTCACTAGCCATTAACCTTTGTCCCAAAAGCCTATTCCTTCACAGTAATTGGATTAAGGTAAACATGCTAAGAGGAGGA